GTTTGTTTTTTAATTATTAATTTCTGCTCAAATCTTTATTTTTTCCCATCTTCTGCTGGTTTAGGGTTTTATTTGCTATACTTTTTCCAGCTCTTTAAGGTATAGGTTACTTTGTTTATCTGAGACCTTTCTTTCTTCTTTAGGAAGGCCTGAATTGCTATAAACATCCCTCTTATGACTGCCTTTGCTGCATCCCAAAGATTTTGGGCTATGGTGTTATGATTTTAATTGGCTTTCATGTACTTTTTATTCTGAGTTATTCAATTCTTATATTGTGCTCTTTTGCCTCAGTTTCCCTCTTGTTTTTCTGCTTCATTATTTTCCATAATATTGTGTTCTATATCACTGATTTATTGCTCTGCTTCATCCACCCTTGCCACCATGGTAATCATCAAGACAGCAATTCAGTTACAGCATTTTTATTTTCATCCTGACTAGATTTTACTTCTTTTTATCTCTGCAGAAAGCGTTTCTCTACTTTATTCAACCCAGACTAGTATTCTTATTATCCTGGTTATAAATTCTAATTCTGGCATTTTGATTAAGTCCCTGGCTTTCATTTATTCCTGTTCTTTCTTTTGGGCGAATTCCTTCATTTTGTCATTTTAATAGAAGAAAATGAACTAATAAAATTTTTAAAAAGTTAAAAATTTGAAAAACAAAAAAGTCACATAAAAGAAGCTAGATCCTAAGTGTGTTTTGGTCTGTTTGTTGAAAGAAGCTTGATAGAGAAGTAAGGGAGAGAAAAGAAAAGAAAAAAAAAAGTAAGAAAACATTTACAAAATTTACAAAGATTTATACAATAAAATAGAATAAAATGAGATGAAGAAAGTAAAATAAAATTTTAAAAATTGCAAAAAAATATAGAAAAAAATAAAAATATTTTTATGAAAACTAAAATTAAAAATATTTTTTCTCTTTTTGTATCCAAAAATAAGAGAAAAGAAAAACAAAAAGAAACAAATAGATAGGCCAGCAAACAGAATGAAATTCGAATGAAATTCCATCCATTTCCCCTAGAAGTCAAACTATAGAGCATTTTATTGTCCATACACTATGCAGGTGGAGAGACTTGTGGTGGTCCTCTAAGGCTTGGTTGATGGAGTTGGAAGGGGCTTTGTGTAATGGTTCCGTTCTTCACTTCACTTGCTGCTTAGTTAATGGGGGTGGATCTGCGTTTTGTGAATGTGCAGGTCCGTCTATGTGCATGCATGGGAGAGGTGAAAACGGTGGCACACAGCTTTCCCCATCTCTGGCATAAGAACATTGCAATCTCACCTACTGACAATCAAGCACCCCTTCATTGTCTCCAGCTTCTGTCCACTCCCTGCTTTTACACTATCCCTGTCCATATCCAAGCCATCAGCCTGCCAGGCAGTACCTCCCTCCTGACATTTATCTTAGATGGGGCTGTGTTTCCAACCCCCTCATTTCTGACACCCTGTGGCTGGGACCCTCTGGGGGAGGGTCTAGCAGAGCAATGCCAGGTATGGGCTTGCCCTCGGGGGAACGTTTGTGTGATCATGCTGCTGCAGAGCCTCAGAGATTGTAGCCACATGTTGGCTTGTCCCAGAAAATTTTCTTACAGTTGCACAGCAACAGAGGTTCAGGGGTTATGGTAAATCGCAACACACAGCTGGTACCAGGTTTGACCACACTCTGGCATCTTTGTCCCAATACCAGCAAACATGACTGTTCTCTGGGGTCTGCTAGGATCTTTGCCTCTGGGGAGGCAAATTCTACAAAATTCCCTCCTAGCACAGGAACCACTTCTCCCCTTGTGGCTAGCAGACCTCTTGGACCTTGCTACCTACTTCCGGGGGATCCGCCCTTCCTCCCAACCAGAGCACCACCAGGCACTGAGCTGCAGAATTTCCAACTCTGCACTCCGCTGTTTATAGATTCTTACTGGTATTGAAACCCTCTCCTTTCTCCCTCTCTTGTTCAGTCACTTGTGGGTCTTTCCATTCTTTCTCTTTCTCTGCAGCCACTTTTGGGGGAGTCTTTTTCCTGTACTCCTCCCCCTCCTTTCTCTGTCTACTCTCCACAAAAAGAGCTCCCTACTTTCTGTGTCTTCTCTCTCCCCCAGTTCACCTGTGCCACATACCTGCCAAGTTCTGGGGCTCAAATTATGCAGATCATTGTGTTAATTCTCAGATCAATTTTCTATGTATGCAAAATGATTTGGTGCTGATCTAGCTGTATTTCTTGGTTGAGAGAAACAGAGAACTTCCATGCTGCTCTGCCATCTTGGCACCTCCTTCCTATCCTTTATTTTTTTTTTTATGTGTATCTCTCTTTACAACACATCATTTATAGACAGTGTAATTCAAATTCTTCTTTATCCAGTCTGACAATTTCTGCCATTATTTGGTGTTGGGGCTTTAAGTCTATTCTTATTTAATTAAATTTCTGATTCAGATTTTAAATCTACCTGAAAACTTATTGTCCCTTCATCCTGATTGCTACTGTGGTGTTGTTCCTCAGTTTATCCTTTTCCTGCCCTCTTGTTTCTTTTCTTTTCTTTTCTTTTCTTTCTTTCTTCTTCTTCTCCTTCTTCTTCTTCTGGTTGATGGCACATTATTTTAGTGTTCTCTTTCCTTTCTTCCACATACTGTCACTGTACATCCATACTTCCTACTTGCCTCTTCTTCCCTCTGAAACAGACATGAGATTTCAAGTGTTCACTTCCTGAACCTGCTGATACTTTCTGTTCCTATTGTTTATTTTACAAATATAATAATCATCATTCAAATATTATCATGTATATTAATTCTGTTATTGCACATTAGAGACTTTTATGCTATTTTTGTGTATGCTTACTTTCTTGTTTTTTAAATGACATGATAGAATGGAACCAAAATCTTTCATTTCTGGTGCTTTTTGCTCAAGTTAATTAATCATGTTTCCTTTTGGAATAATTTCCCATCAGTTTGAAGATATCCTTTAATATTTCCTGTCATCTACATATACTGGTGACAAATTATTTCTGCTTTGTTTTGTTTTAATCAGGGAAATCTTATTTTATCATAATTTTGAAGAATATGGATGTTTGGATTTCTGAGTTTGTCTTGTTTATTTTTTTATTTTTTCACCCCATAAAGTGTATTTTTCTCTTGCTATCTGCCAGCCAGTTTTTCACGGAAACTCAATTTAGCCATTTCTCTCAGTATTCATTGTGCCCTTTCTTACTGTGGTTACTTGCAAATTTTATCTTTAAGGCAGGCTTATAGCAACTTGACTAGGATATGCCTAGATGCTATTAACTTTGTTATGATTTCATTTTTTTTTTTTTTTATAGTCAGCCTTTTTTATTTATTTATTTATTTTTTTTTTTTTAGGATGGTTTCTTCTATGTCTTTCTTTTTTTTTTTTTTAATATGATTTCAGTGAGATTTGCTAACTTTTTTTGTTTGTTTGTTTTTCTGGAAATCTATCATTTTAAAAATCTGAACTGAGAATTAACTTAATCACTATTTTCTTCATATTTTTTTCTCACAACATGTCTCCACTTGGGGAATATAAATATTCATAGAGTAAAGAATGTCATATTGTGACAAGTCTCCCTTTGGGGTTACTCATCTTTCTCTCATTGGTCTCCATCTCTTTCTCAGTTTAGAAAATTCATATGAGTCCACCTTCATGTTCAATTTCCATTTCTCTGCTATCTCTAGTCAGCAGTCTAGAAGCATAGGAAACTTCCGGGGCGCCTGGGTGGCACAGTCGGTTAAGCGTCCGACTTCAGCCAGGTCACTATCTCGCAGTCCGTGAGTTCGAGCCCCGCGTCAGGCTCTGGGCTGATGGCTCAGAACCTGGACCCTGTTTCCGATTCTGTGTCTCCCTCTCTCTCTGCCCCTCCCCCGTTCATGCTCTGTCTCTCTCTGTCCCAAAAATAAATAAACGTTGAAAAAAAAATTTTTTTTTAAAAATTAAAAAAAAAAAAAAGAAAACCTCCTGGATATTGTATAAACTCATTTTTTTCTAAATCAGAATTTTTAGTATTACCAGTCACCCAATTATTATTTCCTGGTTTGAGAAATATATTGTCCTCTTTGTCCTTGTCAAATCCATATCTGAAATTTGCTTCTTTTTTTAATTTGTTCTTCAATTATCATATATTGTTGCAGTCCATGTGTCTTTATAAATGATTTAGGTATTCCTGAATAAGAGTAAGACTAAATTATTAAACACTTAACTTAAAAATATATATATATATATTTTTTTTAAGTGCTTCATTTAGAAGCTTTAAATAGCAATGATATAAATACAATTTTACTAAAATGAAGAATAAAGAAAAAGTAATGGTGCCTATGTTTTTGCAAAGAAAGATGAAGTTTAAGCTTATATTAAAATATTTCAGGGGCGCCTGGGTGGCGCAGTCGGTTAAGCGTCCGACTTCAACCAGGTCACGATCTTGCGGTCTGTGAGTTCGAGCCCCGCGTCAGGCTCTGGGCTGATGGCTCAGAGCCTGGAGCCTGTTTCCAATTCTGTGTCTCCCTCTCTCTCTGCCCCTTCCCCGTTCATGCTCTGTCTCTCTCTGTCCCCAAAATAAATAAACGTTGAAAAAAAAATTTTTAAATATTTCAAATTCTATTCCAAGGTGGAATTTCTGTCTTTTTGTGTGTTTGTGGAGTGCAAGAGTGTTCTATTTTTTTTTATTTTACACAATCCAAACAAATGAACTCAAATACACACATATAGATGATATATGTATTTTTAACCAAGTGATATCTGAAATTGGATTTTTAGTAAATAGTAAACTACTACCTCTATTACTCCTACCCATCATTACCTTCTATTAGCACTTATAAATGAAAATTTTAATTATTGTAACAAAATCTTCAAAATCTAACATACACATGAAACCTGTATATTTGGTTATCAAATTAAAATACTTTCATGGCACACATTATTTGTTAATTTACATACATCATGGGGCTTTGCTGGAATCATGGATGAAGCTGAGGATCCCAGAATTAAACTGACTCTCATGGATCATGTCACTTGGACCTCATCCCCTTGAGGAAGTTCCAGCCCTTGGCCAAGTTGTCCTTCAGAGCATCTTTCATGGTTTCATTCCGTAGACCGAAGATGAAGGGATTCAGGAGGGGTGTGAGAACACTAGAGAGGATAAAGAGGATCTTGTTGAGATGTAAGCTGCTCTTCTGGGAGAGGTGGACATACACAAAAATGGAGATCCCATAGCCCATGGAGACCACAATGAAGTGAGAGACACACATAGCAAAGGCTTTGCGTTGACCTTGACCTAAGGGTATCTTCAGAATGGTGGAGATGACGTAAACATAGGAGACCACAGTGAGTGAGAGGGAGCTGATGAGCAGGACAAGGGAGCTGAGGAAGTCTAACAGCTCAATGATGTGGATGTCAGCACAGGCCAAGTAGAGGAGGGGGGCACTGTCACAGAAAAAGTGATCAATCACATTGGGGCCACAGTATGGCAACCCCACCTTAAGGACAGTGGACGGGAGAATGAGGAGAAAACCACCCACCCAGGAGAGGATAACAAGACGCACACACAGTGAGCTTGTCATAATTGTTGGGTACTGAAGGGGGCTGCAAATGGCCACATAGCGATCATAGGACATGACTGCAAAAACTATAAACTCTGTACATCCAGAGAGGAAGTAGAAATAAGACTGGGTAAAGCATCCACCAAAGGATACGTTCTTTCTGTCTGACAGGAAGCCTGCCAGCATCTTGGGAACAGCACGGGTTGTGGTTAATACTTCACAGGAGAGATTTCTGAGGAAGAAATACATGGGTGAGTGAAGCCTATAATCCATGAGAATCAGCATAATGATTAGGCTGTTTCCAAGGACTGTCACCAAGTAAACCAATGAAAAAATAAAGAACAGGAGACCCCCAAGAGCTCTGGTGGTTGGTATCCCCACAAGAATAATCTCAGTCACCAATATCCAATTCCCTCTTTCCATGTTTGTGTCTCTTTTTTACTGTAAAGGTAGTTATAGCATAGGGAAAAGAATGGTGAATCATTCATCAAATTAAGAAATCAAGGAGAAATTTAAAATAAAATTTTAGCTACTTTTTCTAGCAAAATTGAGAAAGACAATTGATATTATGATTGGGTATACCATATCCTACAAAAATATAGCTGAAGAGCTATGAAAATCAATTTTGATAACTCCATCTTTCCTTTCTATATTCTGTAACACTTTGGTGGAGTGTGCTAAATATATAATTACAACTGTATATTTTATCAATAAGAACTTTGTCCAGTAAGTGTTCTGATAAAATACACAAATGAAAGATTAGTTGGTACCTGTAATTATAGAAGCAATTTACTTCCAGTGTTTGTCTCATGAGGATTGGGCTGTCCCGATGTTACAAGGGCACATAGAGAGTACAGACTCCAGCTTCAAGCCAATGGTGCATCTAGGTTTCAAGAGTCACGTAGATAGTGGGCACATCTTGCAGCCACATTTTCTCACCTGAGATTCCAGTGCTCCAATTGCCAGTAAGGCAGAAAAATAAAAAATAAGCACCATAATACAATTATAGAGAGAAAATATATTCTTCAAGATAATATACCTTGCAAAAATCAGAGGTATAAAAAGTGATTTCCCCCACAAAAAAAGGGATAAAGATAAACATAATCTACATGTTCAATAACAAGGCAAACACAGCAAAAAACAAAAAAAAACCCAAAAATTGTGTAAATAAAAATCATAAATCTGTAATAATAAGAATGGCACTAATAAACATTAATATATAATTGGTACTGTTATACATCTAGGTCTGGAATGTAAAACCAATACAATTTTCCATAAACACAGAAAACATAAAATGGCTCAAGATATAAAAAATTTAAGCACTGGTATAAATATTTTAGGAAATGGTATAAATATTTTAAGAAACATATGTAAGCAATTGAAATATTTATTTTAATATTAATGGCAGAAAATCATTAATATTAATGGTGGAAAATCTTATCAATAGAAGGATTACAAAATTAGTCAAAAATCAGTTTAAAATGTCATGAAACTATATGACATGAGAGATCACATCAAATTTCTGGCAGGCAACTTTTAGAAATATAAGCAGAAATAAAAATAATATGATAGTAAGAGAATTTGACATAATATTTTCTATATATTTCAGAATGAATGAAGTAATTAATTGTACATGAGTAAATTAACTATTTAGAAATACGTTATAGAAAATATAAACAACATTATTAATGGAATCTCAGGCCAAATCCCTTATGTGGAATCAATATTGCAAAATTTTTTATAATGAAGGCTGAATTACAGCCAAAATATTGGATTGGATTTTATTTTAGAAATGGCCAAAATATTTCAAATATAATATTTAAAATATAATGTCTATTTTTAAAGAGTTTCATTTTTAGCAAAGGAATAAATATAATTTCACTGTGTTAGCTAGTATACCATTATTTAGACAGAGCAAAACATCAAATAATATGTCAAATTTAATAGAGATTCATATAATTATTTTTATTTAATTCTGTAAAGTAGCTATAAGGGAAGAAAGTTAACTGTCACAAATGATTCATATGGGGCATATTCTATCCGTAATCCATAATCTCAAATTCTTTTTAACCACCCATCCTCAGGAGACATAAAACATCAGAGGATTAGAAGGAAATGTAAACTAGACAGAGCCCCAGGCTAACAAATATACGTTTAATATTTTTAGTGATAGCAGCAAGTGAGGCAGTGTTCTTGATAATCTAACTTCAGGCAACAGGCATGAATATCAGAAGCAGAGATGAGATGGAGGGAGGGAGGGAGGGATAGAATGAAAGAAAAGCTCTCTCACAATGGGTAAGAAATCCACTTGTTACCTAAGTTTGAAGAACTATTTGATGAAATTTGCCTTGAAGCAAATCTAGACATTGAATGTTTGGGCTGACATTAAGAAAAGAAAAGGGGAAAAGTAGATATTACAGAAATGGAGAAATTTTTGACATCCCAACAAAAGATGTGTGAGAGCATGGAAGTTTATTTCTTATTAAAATAAATTAGTCTTGACTTTCTGAAAGCAAAATGTCAAGTTTACTTCTAATCATACAATATTCTTCTAACTTCCCTAGCATCTCACTTTCACACAAATGTAAAACAGTTGATGTGGGTGCATTTGTCCTTCTTACTAGAAATGATTTTACACAGGGAATACCTTTGTTAAGTCCCTCATCTTCTTTCCAAACACAGTAAACCTCCTCTATTACCCCATAGTCTTTCTTACAAGAAGTGCCCCCTGTCCAATAAAAATGGCTTTGATGAAGAAAAGGCAGAAGAAATTTCTATCTTTGTACCACTGGTTTTCCTTTTGAAACTGAACTCTTGGGCCCAGGAAACACGGATTTCCATAAAAAGTGTTCAGTCCCAACCCCTTGTGATGACAAAGTATCACAGGACAATTCCACAGCACCATGCATTCCAGATGCATAGTTTTGGAGGATAACATAGTCTTAAAAGCAGCTCCTCAGCCTATGTGCCCACAGGGAGCTTGACTGGGTGGGAAGGAGTCATGTTTTCATTCTCTCTGTGTTTGTGAAACTTTTTTTTAATGAGTCTATTCTTCTGAGACTCCCATGTACAAAGAGAACTTTGTGTTCCCAGGAGAAGTTTTAAGACTAAAAGGATGATGTACTTCAAGTAAAACTAATTATTTTCTGTGAAAACTTGGCTAAAATGTTTTAGGCAATTTTTTTAAACCTATAAATATTCTGCCCTGTGATATCAGGAGCATATGTACTCCATTATTTGTTTTTACTACTTTTCAGTTGATGACTATGATTTAAGTGCAAACATGATTTCACCATAATGTGTCTGTCTAATAAATATGAAAGATTTATTCCCAAACTTCTAATTATTTCATGTGAGGTCTATGTCAGAGATGGGAACTATTAATTAACTGCTAAAAGAGCCCTGGATAGGGGCAAGATCCATAAGATACTCAAAATAAGTTTGTGTGGATGTATGGATGGAGGTCTCATATTTATGAGTCCATTTTATTAAAAAAGGAACATTTTTTTTCGTTTGTCTAATATTCCCTTTTGTATTCTTGGTAGTCTTACTTGTGTGTTGTTTTGGATCTCACACCATTTTATTTCTACATTTTTTAAATTTTATTTCAAATTATTGGTAAATGTATATTGTATTCTTGTTCTGGCAGGAATAGTTTTCTATGATCTAAAAATAATATTCTCTTTCAACGCTGTTAGATTTGCAAATTCACGAATGAGTCTCTGAACCTTTCTCATTTAGGTAAAATGTAATTGGTGTTTAGTGCCTAATATAGATGTCCAGCTAGCTGTATTCTTTCTGAATGCAATTAAAATGACATGCGTCCTAGGGTCCTCTGAAGATTATACATATACACACTGTGTAGTTAACCTATATTCATGCTTTTCATAAATTTTTGTTGAAATTATTCAGAATAAATACTTAATTCACTCTGGGTATTTGAACACAGTATAGTGGCATATAATAAGTAGTTGAGGTACTTTGTTAATGCTTGAATGAATGAATGAATGAATGAATATGGGAAATACACAGTATCGGCTGTTATTCATGAACAGTAGCAAAATCTGTAAGAATCATTACTTTTCAAAAAGAGTATTTTAAATGAAACTTTCTCACTGTATACTGAAGCCTAGTGAAGGCCCTTTCCAAAAGGAATAGAGAATTTGGAGGCTACCAAGTCATTGAAGAACAGATAAGAAACTGGGTTCATATGATTTTTAATTTATCCTAAAAGCTAATAAAATAAACAGACATTATGACCTGACAATTTATTCTCAATGAGGCACGTCTGAGAGAATGAATCACATAACGTACAGGAGGAGCTGAGAAATTATACACAGGCAAAACTACTGTGAGAAAATGTATTTTATAATTTCTTTTGAGGAAGAAGAGAATAGTTGTGGCTTTCTCTATTCCGATCCTTTCCCTTGGTGAAAACCAAAATAGAACTCATTTTTAGAAGTTATATTTGGAAGTTATGAATTATGAAGATTCTCCCAATTTAGGGCTCCATAGGAAAAAACATGTTTCCTAACTTTGTTCCATGTCTTCCTCTTCCTCAAGGTGTAACTTGATACAGTCTCCTTAAAAGGGATTTTGCTAGAACTCCACTGTCTACCAATCCATTTCACCTCCATGGCTGTGATTTCAGAACCCCATCATGTGACCATTAAGCTGGGCTGTCACACAGGTTTCAGGTTTGTAGTAATTACTTTTATCTATCTAAACAGAATGCCATGCATTTTAGGACAAGAACTATACCTAGCATTCACTACTGTTATGCTCAGTGTCCAGCATTGTGATCAAATATTACTATAATGGTTACTATTATGAATTCCCACACAGTTTTCACATTAACCTCACATGATCAGAAAGTCATGAATCTCTTCAAACAGTTCATTTGAAAAAGCAACAAGATGCATGAAATATACCTTTGAAGAAAAGTTGAAAATACAAACTTGAAAACTTGAAAATACAAATCCATATTTATAATTATAATCAACATTTTATATGTATGCATCTTAATTTTAACAGTAATAATTATATACAATTTTATTATCTGCTTTTCCCAATGACACTATATTATAAAGTATATCCTATGTGTCTATTCCATACTTTTTAATTTATTTGTTGATAAGTAACTTACAAAGATGGTATTGGGAATGGATCTTACATATCACAGTTGCCTAATGTATTTACTATTGACAGGAAAATAATATAAGCAAAGATAAGGCTCTTCTAAAGAACAATAGGCCACCAGACATGGAAAGGACTAAAATGATTTTTTGAGAGATCAGTGTTTAAATAAGAGTGTTATTGCAATTGAAGAGCATGATAACAAGTATGAGCATTTTAACATGAGACAATATGAGAAAAAATAAATTAAGGGGAAGGAAAAGAGAATAATAAGGCAGAGGTCTGAA